GACGATTTTCTTTGGGGGACCAGTGAACATCTGTTTAGGTCCAAAGAATGAGTCTTAGGTTAAAGTTGACTGAACAGGCAAAAAAATGTATATTCTTAATTCAGACAGTTACAAACAATTCACATACAGTAAAACCTCATTAAACGATAAAGACTGTCAGACATTAAAAACTACCCAGACAACACAGTGTGCTCTTGAGGGCAAAGCAGTGAATGCGATTGCAACAAATTGTAATCTTATACAAAGTTAGGCTGGTAGCCAACTTTTTTAGATCTAATATCACATAACTACAAAATGCTGGTGTAAGAAAATATGGCTGCTTTAGAAAGAAAAGCTCTTTTTGCAGTCTCTTCACCTTAAGAATGAAGCACGTAGCCATGTGCTGATACTTGCCGAGATAGCATGCACACCAGCGATCGCGGCCATGCCCTTTAGAATCAAAGTTCACTGCTGTTGCTCGAGTACCCTCCCCCCCCTCGCATGTCTTTTGTCATTTTAGGCTCGTTCAAGCTGGGTGTTGTGTGTCGTCTCTGCTTGAGCATTTGATGGCAGCTCTACTAACATGCACCCTTTAAGCTACGGAAGATGAGCCAGCTTGTTTCATCTGTGCTTGAGCAGCGCCCCTGCTCGCAAGTTTTTACTTACACATAGAACATACGATACACGGGGGATGTTATCAACTTGGACTTTACACGGAACATGGCATGGCAGTGATGCAAGAACTCGTCGAGAGTGTTCATATATTTGCTATCACAATAAGAAATTTTCCACGCCATCGCCTAGAAAGCGCATTGCTTGTTGCCATTTTCTCTGTGGCTCTCGTGTCAGCTGTGGCGCTTGAATGCCTGGAGCATTAGTGTTTTAATATTAATTTTTATAGTTTTGTTGGATTTAAAATGAAGGTAATTTTAATTAGCTCATTTATAGTCATCAATTGCTCTTCATATAAGAATGGGTGTTTTATTCACGAATTCAATGTTGGAACATCTTAACATGAGCATTTTTAATTTATCTGAGGTCGAGTAGATATCCAAAGGATCGCTTGTCTTATTTTCCTTGAGTTACTGCACTCCACGCTTTCATTTTTTAATCTGTAGCATGTGTGTACGTGTGTGTCATATTGTAGTAGGTGTAGTCACTTCATCAATTTTGAATGTTTAGTAAAAGCCTAGAAATCTGATAAAAAACTGATTTTGCTCCAAAAGACACCTTTTGATGCTCCATAGTTGCTCCAAAACAACCCTTTTACTGCCTGAAAGCTGTTTCGAAATTGATGTAATCCTGCTCCCGGAGCATCTCCGTGAGACTGAAGCTCGCTTTCACTCCTGTGAATGTAAAAAATAGTGATATCATTCTATATCATTCTAGTCGTGTGCTTGGGTATGGCAGTTGCTCTCTTAGGTGCTCTGATTTAGGCTCCACCAGCAAATGTCAAATTTCATCACTCTGCAGAAATTACCAGCGCCCACTTTTTAAAAATCTCAATGCAGCAATGGGCTCTTTGTAGAAAATATTTCAATTTTCCCAATTCATCTAACTGCCTGTCACATAATAAAGCATTATTTCAATTGTAGTTATTGCTATAATTATGTCTCGTATGCGATTCTTAAATGAAAAGAAGATAAAAGTGAGCCTCGTAACTGTCTCTCAGGGGGAGGACACCTCAACAGTAGCTCACACAGGAGGAGGGTAAGGAGGGATTAAAAGGTATAGAGATTGAGAGGGGGGGAAGGAGAGAGCGTGGTGCAGGGACAGCAACATCCAGAAGTAAGAAGATAGGAAAGATGGACACGGTCGCAGAAGTCTGAGGACGGGGCACCACTCAGTGAGAGCTCTTGTCGGCATCAGGAAATGGCCTAGGGCGAGCCAGTCCGCCAAAGTTGCATTGTCGTCGGAGATTGTGGGGGCACAACCTGTCAGCACGATAACCGGCGAGCGAGCAATTATGTCTCTACACATCTTTTTTAGATCCTGAATTAAGTTCTCTCTGTCTATGTCTACTATGGTGTCTTCACCATAGTAAAAGTAACTCTAAATGTGGTGAAGGATTTTTGCATTACTGTTACTTTTTAGGATTTTCATACTCATTTCTTGAAACACCCAGTATATTGTGCATGTGCCTTCAGGAAACTGGACACTAATGAGGCTTTTGTCATGAAGCAAATTACACTCTATGTGCTGGGTCATTTGATATATTTAACATTACTGAGCACTATGCCCCAGTGCTCTTTTTTTTTTTGCACTTCCTGGTTACTATGCTCTGTCTTTAGAGCTGCCCTGATTATCTGTAACAGTCTTACACTTGCACAAAAATCGCTATGCTCAGATGTTTTCTGTCAGGGTATTACAATCTGCCTTAGTGATATGCGTTCACTTTGTAGTCATGGCTGCAGCCGAAACATGATTGCTAACTGTGACATCTTTGTACATTGCATTAGACCTCTCAACCTTGTTTCACTGTGCTTGGCCCCTTCGTTAAGCCATGCTAAGTATTATCGTGCAAGTGGTACTTGCCCCACAAATCAATGTCTACGCCGTGTGTAGGGTAAATTAGTTGGTAAAATGGTAATGGTGCACACTATCATATGTAAGAATGTTTCGTAGAGTTTATTATACCTGTACCTAATAATTACACATGGGTGGGGTGTGTGATGTCATTGCTCTATGCACTTGCAATCTGGGGATTGGCACAATTACGGGATGGGTAGGTCATTATATAGGTCAACCTTGAGCCAGACTGGGATGACAATGCCATTGCACACTGTGAATCTTAAGAAATATAATACTGGTATTGTTAAGATAATACTGTTTGCTCAATAGTTTCATAATTTGATGCTACATATTTCTATAGGCAAAGTTCCTAAAAGAGTGTAGTGCTTTTGCAGGCAAAGAAACGGCTTAGCAAGAGCATGTCATGGTATACAACGTGGTATACATGGTCTCCACTCACAAATGATGTTTCAAGGGAGGTGAGATTTGGATGCAGTAGTGTTAGTTTCTACTCTGACCGACTGGCTGCATTCACTGACACTGCATTCTTGGTTTTCATTTTTATGTTTTCTTTCCTAACAAAAGTTAAAACTTCCTGCTTGGTAAGTCTTGCAGGGGTTTCTGGGATATGCCGGTGCATGTGTTTTTTGACATGCTGGTTTTCCGATGATGTTTGCTTGAAAGTTGTTTCCAATAAGACTCTTTAGCTTTGATGCCCCGCCGCGATGGTCTAGTGGCTAAGGTACTCGGCTGCTGACCCGCAGGTCGCGGGATCGAATCCCGGCTGTGGAGGCTGCATTTTCGATGGAGGCGAAAATGCTATAGGCCCTCAGGTGGTCGAAATTTCCAGACCCCTCCACCATGACATCTCATAATTATATGGTGGTTTTGGGACGTTAAACTCCACATATCAATCAATCTTTAGCTTTGATCAAGAGATAGCAAAGTGTTATGTTTCTGTTTGAGGTAAGACGTCTGAGAGTAGACGTGGCAGCATAAGGAGGCGAAATGCTAGAGGTCCGTGTGCTATGTCATGTCAGTGCATGTTATAGAACACCAGATGGTCAAACTTCAAGGAGGCTCATACTGCACCATCTCTCATTACTATATCTGGGTGTTTGGGATGTAAAACTCTTAGTATTATTATTAGATGTGGCATTAACATGCAAGAGCATACTTGTTATTTGTGTAAAATAAATTTGGCAGCTGTTGCAGAGTGCTTTGTGAATTTGCTTATCTTTACCTTGCTCTACACTTGTTGCATGCTGTAATGCTTACCTAATGTAATTTGTAACATTTAACAGACTCCATTAATCTTCAGCCTTGTGCTGCTTTACTTAAAAATTATTGCATAGCATTATGTTTTCCTGTGTGATGAATAGAGCAGCAATCCAAACGAATAATAGTCACTAAGAAATTATTTATGCCATCACAAATTGAATTCACAAATGCGAACACTGCAACAAAACTCAACTTGCTCGAGTGTACCAACTAATTGCATATTTATGTAGGTCTGCTTGTGTTTTGTGTGTTCTCAAGAAGTAAATTTTGCTCTTTATATGATGTCGACTGAGTGAACATTAAATATCTATTTTGATAATATATGAATAATGTGCATTGAAAGACAGTCGTGCAAATTTATAGCATATAATAGTAATTTATAGTACAGAACTAGCACTGCACTTGCAAAACAATTTATATTTGGATGTGGTTGAGCACAGTGTTATAACTGTGACAATTCATGATAAAAATTTGGGAGAAATTTGTAAGGTAGTTGCTTCATTCATTCGTAGGTCACTTTGCTCATCGATCAGTATCTCAAGCTGTATCTGGATCAGCGTAGTGAAATGTATTCCCAGAATTAAAAAAAAGAAAAGCTGGACAACCTTGTTGTTTCACATAACAGATTTGTCACCTTGTGTGTAAATTTGCATGCAAACTTTTGCAAAAGTGTGCTTCATATTTAACCATCTGTGAAATGCATGGTTGTAATGCAAATTTAAAGAGAAGCTTAAAGAACAGGAAGCCTGTAAAGCTCATGGGCAAAAAGATATTTACAACATATAAGCACCTGTCTGTTGTATGTTTCTGCTTTTTGTGCTCTTGTATGTGTTCTTTTTTTTAAGTACAGTAGAAACCTTTTATAAAAGACATTGATTAAAGAAACAAATGGGAATTAGAGATGCCAGTGGGCGTACAGTAAAATACTGGTTGATAAAAAAATGCATACGAGTTACCTTGCTTATGAAAGGCATCTCAAATAATAGACAAGAATTGCTGCCCGGAGTATGCCTCTTATAAAAGAGTTTAACTGTATAATAGTGTGACTGTGTATAGCACAATTATATTCATTTTAATACTTGGATGCTAAATAGCTAAAGAGTAACACTAGGAGCTAAAGAGTAACACAAGGGTGTAAAGAAAGGTAGTGAGGCATATATTATATAAAAGGTGAACTCAATAATGGTCAAGTGTACACATGTGTTTACTGTGCGACGTTTCTTTTTCAGGTTAAAGACAAAGGCAGAAAAGCATACACAAATATACAAGGCAAAATCGCTAACATGCAGAAGGTAATGTCTTTATGCTTATTTTTATCATTCTTATACATGTGAAATAAATAAAATGTTGCTATCGTCATTACCAAAACCGCTAAAAGAGTGCTGATGTTTAGTTATATATTTTATGCTCTGGTGACTAATGGTTAATCTAGTAATTATTCTATAAGCCTTATTTATCTAATGCTCAAATTTTTATGTTTATTGCAAGCAGTGTTATTCAGCTTTAGTATTACTTTTAATATTTAGGTTAGTATTAATTTATATTGCGACATCGCAGGCTACATTACAAACACAGATAACATTATATTGATCATTGTGTACTGCACGTGCCCATCAGCTTGTCGTCATGCCTCAGTTATTTAATGAAGCATGAGCATCACACCTTGTTAATGGGATACAGTCACCGGGCAGATTCCAAGGACTGGCATATCAGTCCCCTGAAGCACCCCACAAAAAAAGAAAAATTTTCGTTGAGGAACCAGTGAACACCTTTTAGGTCCAAAGAATGAGTCTGACCTTAAAGTTCACTGAACAGACAAAAAAATGTATATTCCTAATTAAGACAGTTACAAACAATTCATATACAGTAAAACCTCACTAATTTGAAGTCACTTGGACCACAAAAAATCTTAATTGAGAGGTTTTCAGTACACGAGCAGCCAAGGAAAGAGTGAGTACTTTCTTCTACCTTTGACAAGGTGGAGGTGCATGGCATGTTTGCTCTCCTGATGTGCTAGCATCATGGTGCAAGAAAGCTCCAGGGTTTATTCATTTATTTATTTATTTGAAACTACTTACAGGCCTTCTGGGAATTATGTAAGGGGGGCTCTAAAATAACATCGATGAGTAAAAAAAATGTGAAGGAACCAAACACCACTAGGAAATGACACAAAAAAAAAAAAAAATTGAACACTTCAAACATAACATGTACATAATGCATAATGCTTAGTGGTTCATACACCACTCAATTTGGACGGTGCTGGTGCTGTCCTTACAGAGATCTGTTGTGACCAGTAGTTTTAAATTAGTGCTAACTGTAGGAAATGGTGGCATGCGATTTGTTTACATGCACTTTTGTGACAGGAAACTACTTGAATAAGACTTGAGTGCGTCAAGCTCTTTAGTGTATTGACCAACCATTTCTCTTAGGCTAGCATAGAGTTGCTTAGCACTCCATGGAGGGTAAAAATAGATATGAAGAGTCTTTTCGTGAGAGGGAAAATAGGTGCACCACATTAAAACCCTGTAATGCCCACTGTATCATATTTGATACATTGCTATAATAGTTCAATAAAGCTTCTAAAAGCTACTATTAGTATCATGATAATAATTGATTGCAGATTAGACATGTTATGAAGAACGTGCAGTGACTTAGATATTATACAAGAGTAAATAATTATTTTTTTCTAATTAATACTAAGTTATGCCTCAATTTTTTTTCTACCTTTCTTAAAATGAACTATACGAAAAGAGTAAAAACAGTCAGTGTTTTCTCGTAATTTTTCTGTAGGCATAACTGTTCATGGGCATTACAGGGTTAAAAATGACAGAATAATCTGCGTAACACTAGTAGGGCTTGTAGTAGTAGTAGCACTAGTAGTAGTAACAGTAGTAGGACACTAGTAGGTCTGTGTAGCTTAGTTGTTTTGGAATTGTAATGGAAAGATAAAGGTTTTTGGTAAATATCATGCTGGCCTGTTAGCAGTGTACTTGGTCCACAGGAAGAAAAAAAAACAGCAGGCAATTTTAATTCTAATATCGGCACTATTCACATCGGCACTATTCACTTTTGCCTTTCTCACAGGCCTCTGTGCACACCACATTGATGCTTCAAGGCACCAAATCAGCTTTTAGTGATTCACTCACAATGTCACTGAAGTTTAGTTTGATGTTGAGTTGAATTTAAGTGAAGAGTCAAATCATTGATCATGAACATGTTGACATGTAGAATCGTACATACAATATGGATGTTCTACAATACTTTTTTTTCACTTTGAGGCTTGTTGGATGGTATGCATGTGTACAAATGAAGGACTAATTGCAGTAAGGTAGAGAGGTGGGCGTGTTGGAAACTATGCACACTTTCAAAATCAGCGCAAATATGATGCAGATACCAAGACGAGAAGCACACAGTATGAGCGCTCTCTAACAAATAAAGTTTATTGAAACAATAATTTTTTTTCAGTGAACTTCAGTTGTTAGATGGCACTCGTGCTATGTCCTCATTGTTGTCTCCATTGTGTTTGTGCTTATTTTTCCAAGTATGGATGAAAGACATAGGTTTCAGATATAGGGTGAAGGAGAAAATAATTGTTATCTTGAAAGACCGTAAAATATTTTTCTAACATTTACAAACTCCCAGAATTAATCAAATAATTAGAAAGTTGTTCTCATTTTAAGTTGAGTTTCAACTGCATAATCACAGGCTTTATTTAACAGATGTGGCTGTAGGGGACTAGATGCTTCAGCTCACAAATGTTTGGGCAAGCTGCAGCTACATATAAATCTGACATACTTTGCTGCAGTTTTGGTGCTTGTTGGCCGTCAACTGCATTTAGTCATATTTGCCAAATAGTGTATAAAAACAATTATTATCTGTGTGTTTGTGCAAAATACATCAGCACAGGGTGACACAGCCGCGCATATTTCACATTTTTGATACATTTTCGTTTTCTTGTGCCAAGCTGCTCCAAAAGCATAAAAATTGTGAAAATTGCACCAAACTGCTCCAAAACGGCCTTGAAAGCTAGAATTTTGATGCTAAGCTCAGCCTTAATGGGGGCAAAAGGCCGAGTTGACTAATAATACGCGTCTAAGCATGTTTTTCTACATTGCACTTTTTAAGGCTCTTCATGGTGCCGTCATAATCTCCTTTAAACTGTTGTTAATATGTGTGACCTCGCAAAAATGTGCTTCCGTGTATTGAGCGTGCTGCTTCACCTAGGTACGCTGTGTGTTCTGGTACTACTGCCGCCTAGCGAGAACCACGTAGTCAAGTGGCAAGCCTAGCGGAGTTGACCTTCGTGTTCTTTGTTGTGCGTAATGCGTTTTTCCGATAGCTGCCATTTTAATGTTGACATTGCTGCTTGCTGTCGCCTATGCATGCGCGTGTGCCGTGAGCGAGTAACTAGAAACCTGGAGTCATTTCCCTGCATGCGATGCGTCCCTTGGATCCTCTGGCGCGTGCACGAGTTCTCAGAATGGGTTTCGTGAGCAATAGAATGCGTGCAACCCATTCCCAATTTATGCCCAGTAGTTTAGCTTTACATTCGAACGGTGTTTCGCTCCACAGTCGTTCCGCAGTGTGACTGGTGAACTTCGTTTTCTTCTTTTTTTTTTTTTTTTTTTTTTTTGCAGTAAAACCCACCTTTGTACGTTCGGCAGTTCGTTAGTATGGACATGAATTTCTTACCTACGCTGCACAGTGCAGGTGCTTTAAGGCAACCACACGTAAACGTTGCAGCTCATCAGCGCAGGCCTCTGACGCGACATTGTGCCCTCTTTTTATGGAGAAAGTACGGACCGCAGCTTCGCGTAGTCACGCACACCCCCCCCCCCCCCCCTTAACAGAGAGGGCGTGGCACCCCATTAAAAGCCACGCGCTGACGCGCTGAAACAGGTACGTGTGTTCAGGCCTTTACGCGAGTCGCGGCGCGGACGGCAATCGCAAGTCGATGTTTTATCGGAAGTTCTACATCGACGATGATGACCTATGATGTTAAAGAAAATAGAACAGGCCAGCGTGGGTCGTAATAATAACGTGTTGTTGCTTGCGGGGAGAGGCGTTATCAGTACCATTCGCTGATCACTTAGTGCTATACACTTAGTGCTATACACTTAGTCAGTGCGGCGAGGTTTCTTGGCTCCTGCGCTGTACTCTTGAAGGCGGTCTTGCACGAGGTGACCATGAATGGCGGTGCAGCGCGCCTTTGTTGTCTGTCGAAAGCTTGCAGCACTATTGACGCTATCATGTCAGGCTTTTGTTTGAGCGAAGACCTACTGTTACATAACTATGATTCTTGTACAATAACAATTTAGTAATTTTGTTACAAGGGCTAGATAGGTCACATGATATGTGAAAAGGTAGTGCAGTTTACACCTGGCAATAATCTGTTCCAAAATTACCTTCAAAATCTGTTTTAATGTTATGTGTATTTTTAGCCAATTAAAATATGCACTGGTGCCCCCCGCCCATTGCTAAAAATTTTTATTTTCGAGCTCTCAGGACGAAATATTCAATGCCGTCAACTGCTTCGAAGCAAAGTTTTTCTGCTCCAAAATTAAAATTTCGCTGCTCCAAAAACTGCTCCCAATTTAGACTCGACTGCTTCACCCCTGTTTCAAGCAAGTCTTCTCCAAAGTGTCCCCCACAACAACCTGGCAGCTAGTGAAGAGTCTTGATTGGCCCAAAGCACAATGCACCTAACTGCCTATTATCTGCTTTGAGTGACAGACACTTTTCAAAGCAGAAGATTCTAGGGCCATGGAGCAGTAGCTAAACTGTGCTGCTCGCAATAAGAGCACTTATGACATTTAGAACAGATTACAAGCTCACTTTAAGAGTTAATGCCTGTGTATTGGGATGCAGATTAGGTCTATGAGCAAAAGATGTAGGCATATCGCATATTTGCATAGGTAATGGTGTATCATTACCACCAGAAGCAGATCTCTTTGTGTTCCATTCCCTCTCTCTGTCCATAAAACAGAGTTGCAGGCCAGAGACAAAGCTCTCTTGGCCAGCTTCTCTGCTGTTCTTATTTTAAGTGTTCCCTCTTGGGCGGAACAAGCGAGTATCTTATTGCCACCAAAGGAAGGTGTTGTCTTGTGTGCAATGCAACATCTTGCATACATGGGTTTTGAGTTTTGTCATGCCGCTTTTCTTGTTCGTGCTACATGTTTACAGTAGTCATTACTTTCTGCAAAAGGTAGCATTAAAGCTTTAGTTTATTCTATCAGCATCTGTTTTACGTGAAAAGGAACTAGATGATGTTTGTCACTGTTAGTTGCAAAGTTGTAAGGCAGGAAGGTGGTGCTTTAGTGCAGGAAAATTACCATAAATCAGTTGGGAAATCATTTTTGAATTAGTATGTATTGTTCATGTTTGCATTGTACTTGCATGTTATGTACTTGTCACCATTGCTGCGCTACTGCCATGTGTATGTACTAGTCACCAGGGTCTTTGTCAAGCCGTTCTCATGGCTTTTAGCTTTGGCGACCTTTCAGTTTTGTCTGGTAAATAAGAAAATTTGAAAAATTTGAGTTTGAATTTCAGTAATAAGTGTGCAGAAAGCAATGCACAGCAAGATGGCATTTTATATGGTGTATAATAACTGCATTAACCTGTTTGAATATTAATTTTAATTTCAATTTTTTCAAGAGTTTGACAGAATACATTCAGGTCATGTAAAGCGTTAAAAATGAAGCCGGTTACTGAACAAGGTCGAGAGAAAACAACACTTTGGTGTCTGCGTGATCAGAACAAATTGAGAATAAGGGATCTGTGCAGATTCTGATATGAAATTTTGTTTGTTCTTCATCATTGACTCTCTTCATTTTTTTAAATTTCAATGTTTTTATTGTTTACTCTTTTTGCGACCCCTTCAGGTTTCAGAGCAATATATGCAAAGCTTTGCCATTTCAGATGATACCCCAGCTTTAATATGTATAGATTGAAGCTCAAATGTGTTGAACATTTTTTACGGGGTGATTATGGTCTACGTTAATGGGCATACAATGTGTACTCCGTCTCAGCACTATGGTTCAGCACTGTCAATGCTACGGGGTGTAAGCAAGCCACATGCACAGGAAAACATAAGTCCAGATATATTGGCAAAGTTGAGACATTTGCCCTTGTTTAGCATCAGCTGCTTCACCTCAATGATTAATATAATTATTCTTGATCACATTCATGTCGGATTTCTTTAATTGTTATATTAGTAACTTCTGGTAATCGTGGTTAAAAATAGCATGGGAGCACCCATACAAGCTCGACCGCCTGCTTTGATCTGAACTGGTCCTTGACGCTCACCCGAAAAGCTCACAGAAACAAATAAATGGTGTAATTAGCTATGGCTTCGTGCCATCTCACGATCAGGACAAAGGTTCAGGTAGGCTTTACATTATTGATGAGATAAGCTGGTTCTTTAGCCACGCCTGCTAAGCCTAATGTGCAAAAAATTTGATAGTGGTTTATGCAAACAGTGCTATAGTCATGAATACATTGCTGTCGAAGCTGTAGGACATAAGTGTAAACCAAATATGAGTGTCAGTCTGGAACTTACAGGCCACCGAGCGCAAGACGACGATGTGATAAACTCGAAGCAGAGGGCACCAGGGTCAGTGGATGCAGCCATGTTCTATTTTGCTTTGCTGCTGCCGTCTGCTTACCGAGTATGTGCGCGCAGACACCAGGGGCACACTTGGCAGATGGCACAGCATGGATGAATACATGTGGAGGGGCTCATCGCCTTTCCTATTGGCTAAGGGGCCCTGTAGCCTCCTCAGTGCTAAAGGGAACTTCTGAGAAAGAGTATAGTTGTATGCCCGTTTTGTTAATGCACATGCCTTGTGAAATCTTTGATGGAATCTGATGGAAAAGCCGCAGGCTATGCATTGTCATTTCACGATGGCTTCTTTTTTTGTAAGTGACCTAAAATGAGAAATTATTTAGGCATTGTACAAAATTGTTGTAAAATCCAAAGTTTGATAGCAACCCTCTTCGGTCGGGAAAGTGCACGTTGAAAAAATTTGAAATGAAATACTGACTAAAGATGTACTGAAAAAAAAAACTAGCATATTTTTGGAGAGTGCTTCGCTTTTTGTTTTTTTCAGTAAGGCTCTGTTATGTACTACATTTTTATTATTTATGGCACATGGAACTTTATGTTTAGTAGTGCAGTCTTTGTTGATGTGACTAGAATCGGAGTGTTATATTATTGTAAGGCTACTGTCTCATTAAACAAGATGAAAGATGGCAAAAAGAGATCATGCCATATGTTATTTCTGTAGTTTCAAGCTGTGTAAGAAGATGCAACATCAACTAAAAAATTCTTATATCCTGCTGAAGCTACCACCTTGCAATGACTGGGGTAGAATTACTATGGAACTTTCTGTCATCTTTAGGGGACCCAGGATGACATGGCATTGTCTAGGAGAGATAGCAGTCAGCCCTGGAGTGCTCCAGCCAGTCCAACAATGGGCCGCGTGAGACCTGCTACAACATTTCAACCTCTGAATCATGTAAACTACTTGCCCATTTTGGGAATTTTTATTTACAAACTTAGGCTAGTGTCTATATTTTTAGTATTCTTAGTAGTACTACAGTAATGTCTGAGAGTATTCTGTTCCTGTATTAGATTTAGGCTAAAATGCAGGTTGGAGATATTTCAGTAAACAAAATACGGTGAACTCCCATGTTATTAAGCCGCAACTCGGTCCTTGGCCGCCACTATTAAAATCGAGACACGCAGAGGTGACACTTACAGTTCTATGAACTGGACATACATATTCTACACATACATACCCTCCATCTGCTGGCGATCCAGCATTGTGTGAGAGATGTGGAGAATCACTTATGTATCTCCACATCCTTGTTCAGTGCAACGAGTTAGATGCGCTAAGAAAAAAAGCACTTTTTACTACCCTTCTGACAGCAGCTCCCACTACATTATGTCATGCTTATCGGGAGGGATTCCATTTTTAAACTCCAACCACTGTTTTCATTTTTAAATTATTTACATAGCTTTCACTCTATATTCCGAGGTGATCTGTAGCACAACCTCAGTATCGAGGTCGTGGCTGCAGTGGCTACACCTTCATCATGGTTTTGTGATCACGACCTTTCGCTATTCACTCTCACTGCACCTATTTCATGCCTCTGTCATGATTTTAATACTTCTGTGTCTTTACCTGCGTTACCGCGAAGGATTTCGAGGCCCCTATGCAGCCACGCACCATATCATTGTTCACATCTCTTGTCTACTGAAACGGCACTCTTTGGTCATCAATTAGCCCTTGCGCCATAAAGCACCACACACCATAATCATCAGTTAACTTTGACAATTCAAACTCGGTTCTTTTTAAATTCTGCTTAAACAAAAATTTATCTGGTCTCATATTGCAGCAGCCGGCACTAGCCCAGTAAATTAGAAAATCTTTAGTTCTACATGGCAATCCCCAATCTCAATAACGTAGAGTACAGTAGACTCACGATAATTCAAGCTCTGATAATTTGTACTTTTGGTTAATTCAAACAAAATTCAATTTTTTGGTTGGCCCTTCATTCTTCCAATGTATTTAAAAGCCTCTTAATTCAAACTCCATTATTTGGCAAATTCATGCATTTTGCGGTTCCGTACCAGCTGCATTCCCACTACTATTTAAAAATTTACGTGCATATATAATCCCAGCAGTCTAAAACTTAAAAATAAACACCTAGTAAACAAATGTTTGAAGCAGAGTAAATGCATGGTAAACTGTGATGCTTCTCAAGTGGTATAGAGAGCGTTGTGCTGAAGGCACATGTAGCAAAGAAGCAGTTGGCAGTTCACAATTTCTTCAAGGCGAGATGCGGGTAGAAAAACGTGAGTTTTTTTCAAAATTACGATTTTTTTATTTTCGCCTGTTTTGATAAGATTAGTACTTCTACTGTTATGAAAAAATAATACAGGTTGAGACTTAACTGGAAATGCTTTAAAATTGCATCTAAAGAGCACAAGGTGCCTGTTAAAAGGTCGAAAATGTGCAGTCTTCGAGCACCTTGCCGCCGATAATGCGCCGCCACTCGCCATTGTTGATCACATGAGTCGAAGAGGCGAGCTTCACTCTTCAAATAACAACAGTTTCTCTCGCTGATGCAGCACAAGAAATAATAAAAAGAAGCACTCTTCTGCGCGTTTTTCCAGCGCCGCGACTGGCTTATCACATGGTACGAATCGGGGACCGCCACTGGCTGTTGCGTGCCTGTATGTGCTGTGAAATTATTTGCGGGGTCCATGTCTTATCGAGCAGCGCAGCTGAACAATAATGTAATTTTCTCATGTAATTATCCCCGTTATGAATGAAAAAAGGCGTTGCTCTCAAGTTAAAGCCGTTGTGCGGCGCACTCTGTAGGAATAGGCTACGAGCAGCTTGTCCGATTTGCGGCAGTTGTTGGCTTGGAGAAGCCAGTGCATCAAAAGTCATTCACACCCGTCAGCCGGAAAGTTCTTGATGCGGCAATGGATGAGGTCAGCACCAATCTTGAGAGGTCGAAAGAGCTCGCAGTGAGAGAACTTAGCAGGGACCACATTGCCATTATGTTCGACGGTATGTGGCACAAGCCTGGCTGCAAAATGGCATGACACTGGACTTAGTTCGGATTTCACAGTCCTGTCGAACTTCTTCCTTGCTTGCAGTTGGCACATGGCTCTGCCAGATGGAGCGGAAGTTTGGCAAGCGTTTCATGGCCCTGTCTGTGAGCGAAATGTCTTTGAGGAGTCGGCTCGAAAAAGCCGAGAGGGACAAACTCATGGTGCTGGCGTATTTTAGTCGCAGTGGCCACTACAAGAAGGATTGTTCTTTTTGGTGTGCAAATTTCATCTGATTTAATGATATCTTTCACAAACAAAAACTCAGTTTTAACTTTAAAATTCGTTTTTCTCAAAACACAAATTTTGCCATTTTTTCCAATGTGCCCCTCCTTTCTCAGGCACTTCTAGTGCTCAAATCTGCGTGAAACTTTGCCCAAATTTTTTCCAAAGTATGACAAATGCAATTATCAAGTTTAAATTTTAATATTTTATTGTATAATAAAAAATTGAACGTATACCTTTACTAGGGTAGGTGAAATATGGACTTTTTACGTCTATTATTTTTCATAGGTATTACATATTTTGTATGTGCTTCCTAATTAGTTATTTTCACTCTACACATTATTTGAAGCATTATGAACTATGAATGGTAAAAAATTACAGAAGTTTAGGTATGAAAAGAGGGGGGAAAGGGGTTAGGGTTTTCACTTTGTCATGTTGCAGAGCTTAAAGTGTGTAACTTGCAAGAAAACTAATTATATATTTGAAATCAGCATAAAAAGTTACATAAACAGCTTAAGTTTCATTGCTCTAGGGTGAATATTAAAAAAAAGTTTCTTCGAGTAGCATCTTCCCTTAAAAGGTCTGATCAGCAGTGATTGGCCAATAAACTTCTGGACCTTACACCTTTGCGGTCTGTTTATTTTGTACAGCTAGGTTTTAGAATTGCTTAAAAAAATTTTAATCTGATAAAATCAATGCCTAAGCATAATGTGTGATGTCACCTCACCCATAGTCATATATCTGAGAACTTCTGATAATCCAAATGAAGTTCAGAGGTCCCCTCGAGTTTCAATTAACGAGAATCGACTGTAGTTGGTCTACACAACCGAGCATTGCAAAAAAAAAAAAAGAAGTTAGAGAAAAAGAGATTGGATGTAAATTCAATCACACTTTCTTTAAATTAGATGTAAATTGAATGGAAATAAAAATAAAATATCTAGGTATTTATATATAGCGGTAAAAAAAATGAGAAGAGAAGGTCTGTATAATAACACATGGGTAAATGCTTTGCTGATTCTGGCCCTAAGTGGCTGTCTGTGCACAAAAACTAATCATAGTAAATATTCACAGTTGGAGGAAACATATTTATGCTGCAAGAAAAGTCCAGGAACTACTCAACACGTTGCAATGGAAATTCAAGATTCCCAATAGGACCTGTCGGAGGTCCTGCGGGAGGTCTTTTTAAGGCTCTTTGTTTCAAGTTGCACGGAAGTATTAACTGTTTAGCAGTTGATAGAGGCAAGAGACACTAAAAATATGTGTGGAAAAAGGCAGGGATGAGGCTGGTTAGGTGGAGTGACAACAAACTAAAGGTAGTAGCTGGTGGATGGAGGCAGTGTGCTGTAGAGGTTGTATGAACAGGAGTAGGTGCCTTAAACGGGGTGGCCAACATCTAGATAGGTGAAGGTATTTTTGTCAAAGGCACCTTGTCATTCTTAGCATGTTAGTTTTAAACCACGTTAGTAGTCATTGAGGTCATGTCACATGGTCTCACTATTAGTAGTTAGCATCTGGAAAAGAAGAAACTGTGAAAGAGATGAGCATGGCCATTTTCTGCCTGTGAGGATCATAGGAAAGATTGTAAATTTGGAATTTGGGAATGATTGCCGCATTTGTCTCTATTATCAAAAAGTACTGGTGGTAATGTGAACCAAGTGTTGCTGGCTTGAACCTCAGGATGCTGTGCATCTTAATTATTTAAGCTTGTTCTGTGCTTTCTTGCAAACTCAATCATTTGTTTCCAAGCACAAAATGTTATGGATAAAACACTAAATATTTATACCCATAAGCCCCCTCTTTTTATCTCATTATGAAACAAGTGTCACAAACAAGTGGTAGGTTTGAGCAGATACGTTTTGTCCCTGTGCTTTTCAGGTTGGAATTACCTGGCTAACCTTGTAGCATAGAAAGTCAGTGTGGTTCAAAATACTAATTGTGCAGTTTGTTTGATTTTAAACAATTTGTGGCTGTATAGCTAGTTGATTCTGTCTCGTAAGCATTATGCAAGTATTATAAACTTTTTATTCACTACCCCTAAAGCTTCTGAGATGCACATATGATAGACTCACAATAATTCAAACTCTGATATTTCGTAAACTGGCAATTTATACAAACAATTTTCAAAATTTTATTGCTGCCTTTCTTTGCTTCGTTGAGTGGTGGGACGTACCAGGCATATTCTCCTGCCGAAATTACTGTGTACTGTGGAACCCCTGAAACAACACGAGATGCAACACACCCAGCTGCAGCCTGACGATGGAGCAAGAAAAGAGAAAGATGGTAGAATTTGTCATGGGACAGTTTTGGTGGAGTTGTGGACACCTGCAGACTTTTCTGTCTGTTACATCACAGTATTTGCAGAAGGGGCAAAATGTCGTGGCAGCATGAGGAGTCACTAAATATGTCATATTGATGGTGATGCTGTGAGGCACTGAGAACTTGAATGGGCACTCGTGCACACTTTAAAACCCTACTGAAATGCAGTATGTTAAAGATTGTGCTTGTCACCAGTATATGGTCAGATGTACCTGCACATGTAGTAGAATCGAACATGAATATTACTAATTTGAAATTTCTGTGTCAGTATTTCTTTGAAAGCTGCCTTATCCACCCTGCACCTTTTTGTTAGTTTTTGTTAATTCATACTTTTTGCTTATTTGTACCTGAAATACTATTAGCTTTTTTTTTTGTTTCTTCTAGCTTAAAATTCACACTAATTTATTTTTGAAGCTTTAAAAATAAATTCAACACCTCCCGGTACTTGTCAAAATGTTCAAAACCATAAGTGGAAAAAAAAAATTGGAGACAGCCACAATGCACATAATAACTAGCCATACTTGCTTTTCCTGATATGCTGCAACGAATCATACTTATGCTTGCATATCAACAGACAGTGAAACAAGGGGAGATAAGCATGGAGGTGTTATTTATATTTTTGAACTTTATTATTATAATTACAAAATAGAAAGTAAATAAAGTACTAGATGAATAAACAAATTGCTGCCAGTTGGGACTGAACCTACAACATTCGGATAACATATACAATGATAAATCAATTGATCTACCACAGTGGTAGTTTTCTCATCCATTAATTGATCAGTCATTTCTGTTTGTGTAAGCTTTGAAATGTTTGCAACACCTCTCGTCCACATGATGGCGAGTGTGGAACTCTTTTTTTTTTTCCAGCTTGTAGGTTGTAGGTGTGGTTCATAACAGCATACTAATTCTGTGCATTGTCATGAATTTAAGAGCAGTGTGATAAAAGAACAAAGCAGATGCACCTGCGATGACATTTTGATTATTTTCTTGTTTCCATTCATCACACATGCAGTGAACCTGCTCACTTTCTTTTGTTTTATTGCAGAACACTGCAGGTTTGGTTTCTCCACTGAAAACGTCGTCCTTAGAGACAAGGTAATGTTCGAAAAATATGGCTTTGTTTCTGCACAAGGGAAAAATGGGTGTTCTTCCTGCACTAGCCAGACACATGTAAAGCGCTTGATGTTTTATATATATTTGCAGATATGTGCAAATGTCTTGCTACTATACTTGTGCGAATAGTAGAGTATTCGAATTCGCTTTGATTCAAATTTAAATTATCAAATATTTTGAAGTATTCGGTATGAACGAATAGAATTGTATTAATCCCCATGTAACTACTTGTAAGGGTGGTTTCACTGCAGTGTTAGGGTGCTAAGCCGGGAAAGCACCTGTTCAAAAAAAATTTATTCTGTCACAAAGCCCCACTTCAACTTTAAAGGGGCCCTGCAACACTGATTAAGCATGGACAGCAAACCCTGCGGATCGGTATTCGAGAATACCGCAAACATGTGAGCTTAATGTTATAGCGCAGCACGTGGCCTGGAATTCACAATAAATTCTCAGTCAGATAAAAATTGCTCTCTTTTATGGGAAATGACACCACTATGTCAAAAATCGCTCATCACGGCCATTGTATTAGCCATTGGCTGATTTGAGCATGGAACGCTTGGTTGTTATTGAGGCCGCCGCGGATAGCCACGACTTGTCCACGCGTACATTCACGATTTCACTGAAATGGCGCGTATTCAAAGGAAAAGAAAAGAAAAAGAATGCTCAAGGTTATGACGCACACATGACGTAGTTTCTCTCCCAATGCCATCTTTCGCGGCTTTGCTTCAAGCGCTTTCGTCGAGACAAGAGAGAATGCAATTGTGGCATGTGGCAAATAGCTAAACTCCACTCATACTAGACAAGTTCTAAAAGTTTTTGCAGCGGTTGATTCGTGAGGCAATAAGCTTCTTTAGTGAATCCATTCCATGGGTAGTTGAAACGCTGTTGAAAAACCCTTTAAATGAACATAGGATCCTCAAATCGATTGATCATTTTTTTAAGCTTAAAAGCTTGCTTTGCTGACTTATACACTCGAGCTGTAATGAATAATTTTATGTATTTTACAGTTATCACTTGCATCCTACTGAAAGTCAAATCCGGCTACTTCTTGAAGTTGTTTCGACTTCCTTTGAACGGAAAAGAAAAGAAAGCACTTGCATACAGGCCTTATTTCAATTAAAAAAATTATTGTGCAGTTATGTCATGATAAATATGTCTATTTTTTTTTATACATCATATAGTCTATCTGAATTCGATTCGAAATTCTTCGACGAAAATCACTATTCGCTTCGAATTCGTTTCGAACCTAAAATTCACTATTTGCACAAGCCTACTTGCTTCATTTATTTCCCATCATTGAATGCCTTTATGCCCATTCTTTTAGCTAAGTTATGCACAAGCTCTGTAGCACGTGATTGGGTGAAGATAAATTATGGCTCATGTGAAATTCATAAATCTTGCCCCGCCGCGGTGGTCTAGTGGCTAAGGTACTCGGCTGCTGACCCGCAGGTCGCGGGTTCAAATCCTGGCTGCGGCGGCTGCATTTCCGGTGGAGGCGGAAATGTCGAGGCCCGTGTACTCAGATTTGGGTGCACGTTAAAGAACCCCAGGTGGTCAAAATTTCCGGAGCCCTCCACTACGGCGTCTCTCATAATCATATGGTGGTTTTGGGACGTTAAACCCCACAAATCAATCAATCAAATTCATAAATCTTTTATAGGTAAAAAACTTTTTTTGCCTCGAGGAAGCTGTCTCAAAAAAATATTTACACTGCTGTTGAATAAGTGCATTGGTGGTTCTTTTAACCCTATGAGCGTCGAATTTTTCAAGAAAAAATTGGCAGAGGGTCAAATTACATTTTTGCGGTTTTTGGAATGCACTGAATGTGTGAAGTCAGGAAAAAGTATGGAGAAAAAACAAACAAAATAGGAACAGTTCTTTGTGTCAGCATTATTCAGAACTGCAGAACGTTCAGTGGTATTTCAGAGTGCGGTATTCCTTGAAGCGCCTTATCGCTGCCTGCACATATAAATTGCATTTTAATCTGTCCTGCTCTTGGAGCGAGGAGTTGTGCTGGCAAACACATGGCCCCTTCTCTGGTTGCTGCTTTGGGCAGTAAAGTGGCAAATTTGGCTAGTTGGAACATACTCATCACGATTAGCATATTCATCATGATAAGTGTGGCTGTGCAGCAGAGCTAAACAAAACCTCTGTGGTGGTGAAACATAGAGAGCAGCGCATGCATAAAGTAGCTAAAGTATTTGAAATAATAAAAGCAAGACACACGTGAGCCAGCTTTCAATCGCTCTCACAGATGTTGAGATTTCGTAACTACGGCATACGCAATTACATGCTTTGGGGGGGGGGGGGGGGGGGGGGTGTTTAAAATTCTATGCCTTACTGTATGCTTATATATAACGCCTTTCTTCCATTAAACTTTCAGTTGTTAGACAGCACTTGTGTCGTGTTCTTCCTTGTGTTTTCGTGTTCCTCTTTGTGCACTGATCGTGTTGGGCAGTAAACTTAGTAATGAATGAGAATAATTTGTGAGTGTTGGTAACAAACAAGCTAACAGCAGTGCCAATAAATATTGAAAATCAACTTCGATACCCTGCAAGAAACTGCCAATAAAAGTAAAAATTAAGTTTTGCGCACCTTTGTTGCGATCACACAGTAGAACCGAAATCACAAAAGAGTGTCGTCCATTGGCGTTGATGCAGACAGTACTACACGCTGATGCTAGAAATCAGTGCTTTTTATCTTCGCAAGAAGGTAGCACAATCACCTCCAGCACTTCCAAGTCCTAGGATGTGGCGGCACCTCCCAGTGAGCAGGTGCCATCATTACGGCTCAAAATTTCAAGCGGAGGGTTAAAAACGCACCTCTACGAGTCCATGTCAAAGGCACTGCGGCACGGAAATCTGCCCCTGAACATGTCTGGCAAAAATACTCATAGGGTTAAAGCTGTTCATAGGGTAGTATATATAATATTCGCTAAAGTGTGTATTCTATATGGTATGTTTTCAATTTTTGGCATGTCTCATTTTAGTCATTGGCCTTGCTGTACGGTGACACCTTTTAGATTTCTGTCCATCAATCAAGTTTCCCCATTTAAAATGTTGCTCAAGCTAGTCTTCTAGAACTTCTGTTTTTCCTGTACCAGTGCTAGGACACCTGTCAAGAGTCCCACTGAGCCAAGCCTTGATGTAGTAGCTGAGCTGTCAGAGGACACTGGTTCTAGCAGCTCATTCCAGCACATAGACATGGACCTCCTGGGACCCCTACAAGAGATTTTCAGCCGTTGCAGCACCACGAACCAACAGCTCCAGCCCAGCCAAATGAACCATTTGGCCTCACCACAGGCACCACCAGAAAAACAGGTCTGTACATTGCAGTGTAGCAGACTTAATTTTCTTCCCTCTCGACAACTGATAGTATTCAGAAACGTTCCTCGACTTGAACTTTACTTTCCACCGCCTTTCATGCAGCGCAAGCGCATCTCGAGTGTGCTGGCTTTAGGTGCCAAGGCAGAACGAACACACAAACACATTTCAAATGCGCTGCATTGACGACGGTGCCAAGTCTAGTTCAAGTCAAAGAGTGTTTCTCAATATGGGGGTGAAAATTCCTTCGTAAAAAACAGCGCAGGCTCACGGGACAAGAAAGACGACAAAACTTAGCGGTGGCTAACAACAGGAGCACTTATTTCGTGTGAACAAATATACAGTCAACTCTTGTCAATTCAAATCCGAAGTGACCTCTGAAGTTTGTTTGAATTATCAAAAAGTTTGAACTATCAGAAGTTCTCAGATGGATGACTCTGGGTGAAGTGACATCACACATTATGATTAGACATTGATTTTATATCATTTGAAAATTTTTTCGGGTCTTTTAGCCCTAACTGCATGCAGTGAATAGAAAACAGAGGTGTAAAGTCCATAAGTTTATTGTCCATTTACTCTGCTGATCACACCTTTTGAAGAAATCGTGAATTTATAACTGCTTCATTGCTGTAGATATGTGCCTTCAGCACAAAGCTCTCTATACCAGTTGAGAAGCATCACAGTTTACCATGCGCTTACTTTGTTTTAAACATTTGTTTACTTGGAAAGTCTTTTCCCTTGAAGGCCTCAGGTGCTTATTTTTCATTTTTAGACTGTTAGGGTTATATAAGCACACAAATTTATGAATAGCAGTGGGAAATCAGCTGGTATTGACGAAATAATGGAGTTTGCATTAAGAGGCTTTTAAATACAGTGAAAGAATTGTAGTGGAGCATACGCACCAACGCGTATACACCTTCGAAAGAGAACGAAAAACCCCGCGCTCTGATTGCATGAGAACATGTGCCGCCTTTGCCAGACTTTACCGTACGGGCATTTTCCGTTGCGACCTCGTTGCGACATCTCTGGTTGAATAAACGTTATCACGTTTGGTGGAGGTTGCTGAGATCCCCAAGCAGACCTGGAGCTCCGCTCTCGCAAGTTGGCCGAGAAATCACCACACAACATGACTGACGCAGTCGCCAACCAGCCCATCCCAGCACAGCCAGTACCATCAGCTGTCCCGTCTACCTGCCCCAGCGCTACCCATCAACGGGACGCACCAATCTTCAGCGGCAGTGGTGAGCAAGATGTCAAAGACTGGCTCTCCTTGTACGAACGCGTAAGCACCAGCAACAAGTGGGACGACGACTCTAAGCTCGCCTATGTTATCTTTTACTTGGCTGACGTCGCTAAGCTTTGGTTTACCAACCGCGAAACCGCCATCGCTAACTGGTCCACCTTTAAGACCCTCGTGACCGAAGCGTTCGGTTGACCAGAGGTCCGCAAGCTTCGCGCTAACCAGCGTCTACGCTGCCGAGCCCAGCAGCCTGGCAAGACGTTTACTAGTTATATTGAGGATGTGCTCTACCTCTGCAGGCATGTTAACCCATCTATGCCTGAAGAAGAGAAAATTCGACAGATTCTCAAGGGCATCGAGGATGGTGCATTCCAGATGTTTTTTGCAAAAAGCCTGACCACGGTGTCAGTCCTCGTAAGCCTGTGCCAGAGCTTCGATGAATTGCGCCGTCAGCGTTCCATCGTTCGACAGAGTGTCCCACCATCAGATTCAATCTCGGCCGTCGCACTCGCAAATGGCATCGTTCGCCAAGGAAGTCTGTCCAACCAGTTCAAAGACTTCATCAGGGAGGAAGTCGCCTGACATCTCTTCCTGTTGCTGCATAGCGACACGCCCACTGCAAGCCTGCCTTCGACACTGCAGCAAGCCATACGCACTGAAGTTTGCGATGCTCTCCCAACAATTCCGGCCCCTTATCCATGCACTTCGGTACCATTTGATCTCTCAACTGCCGGCTACGCACCGCCTGCGCCACCTTCACCTCTCAGCTACGCAGCTGTGGTCACGCGGCCCCCACCGCATCCAGTCTCCTTATCGGCTCCACTTCCTCCGGCCTCGCCTCCAGTTTACAGGCCCCCACCTCGCTTTTTCCGTCTATCTAATGAGTGGCGCACCCATGACAACTGTCCTATCTGCTTCACTTGGCATCGCTGGCCACATTGCACGCTGCTGCCACCGCTGTCCCACACCTGCGTACGCCTCCTTTAGAACTCCTACCCACGGGCCGCAGCAGGCCACCACGTCTGCATATGAACAGAGGCACTCAGACTTGGATCGCCGCCCATCAACTGCTCGTTTCCCATTCTCTCGTCGCCGATCGCCATCACCTATGCGTCGTCGACCACCTCCTGATGAGGGAAACTAATCAGTGCAGTTCCGGAGGCAAGAACTGCAACTTCTGCACAATTCTCAAGGCCTTCATTTTTGCCGCAAAATGTTGTTGATGTTGAGGGAGTCGCCACTCTAGCGTCAATTGATACTGGGGCCGTCATTTTTGTGATGAACGCAAAATTTTGTCGGAAACTGAAGAAAGTGACCACATCTCTCTGTGGCATGGTGCTGTCCACGGCTAGCGCGCAATGCCTTCATCGCTCGGCTGTGTGTATGGCGCGCGTCGTCATTCAAGACGTTTTGTACATCGTCCAATTTTTTGTTCTATCATCTTGCTCTCATGACCTCATCCTGGGTTGGGATTTCTTATCACGTCATGAAGCTATCATCGATTTTTCACGTGCGGAGGTGTCCCTTGTGCCATGTGAATTTCCATCACCCAACCATTCTCCTCTGCTCTGCAAACTCATCACTGACAACGACATCACCTTGCCTCTGGAAGCTTCAGTCTCTGTTAGCCTTTCATGTGTGGCGCAACCTGACGCCACGGTGGTGTTTGCGCCATCTCCAGTTTTTACTGAACACAAGGGCATCTTTCTCCCATTTGCCGTACTTACAATTGCGTCTGGTTCCACCGTAATGCTGGTTACCAACCACTGCAACTACCCCATTGGCTTACTCCGTGGTGGAACCTTAGGATATGAACAACCTGTCGACGATACTGATGATATTATTCTTCTCGACGAAACCCCATGTCACATTGCTGCAATCACTCATGCGTCTGAGCCATCAAGTTCGTCAGCCTTCGACAATGCTATTGAGGCAGACCTTCCCCCCTCGCATCCCCGCCAACTTGTTGCTCTCCTTAACAAGTTTCGCTCTTCTTTGGACTTTCAAGAACCTGCTTTGGGCTGCACCACTACTATCACTCATACTATATGACATCGGCTCATACTCGCCTCTGCGACAGCATCCTTACCGCTTTTCCATCAAGGAGCACTGCGTCATTACGGAGCAAGTAGATGACATGCTTAAACGTGGAGTCATACAGCCTTCTCAAAACACTTCATCATCACCTGTGGTTTTGGTAAAGAAAAAAGATGGCACCATTTGATTTCGTGTGGACTATCGCCGCTTAGACAAGATTACCATGAAAGATGTCTATCTGCTACCACGAATAGACGATGCTCTTTACAAGGCGCCGAGTACTTTACATTCTTGGATCTGCGTTCTGGGTATTGGCAGGTGCCAATGGCTGAATGTGATCGCCCTAAAACATTCTTTGTAATGCCGGATGGCCTATATGAGTTCAAAGTCATGCCATTTGGGCTCTGCAACGCGCCTGCGACATTTGAGCGCATGATCGATATCATCTTGGGTGCCCCCAAATGGCAAACTTACTTGTGTTATCTGGATGACATCGTAGTCTTTTCAGCTGATTACCCGACACATCTTGGTCGTCTCCACGACATTCTGACGTGTCTAACTTCTGTAGGCTTACAACTTAACACCAAGAAGTGCCACTTTGCAGCTCGAAAACTAACCATCTTGGGACATGTCATCACAAGAGACGGTGTTCTTGCGGATCCCGATAAGCTTCGAGCTATCGCTGACTTCCCAATGCCCACATCACTGAAAGCCCCAAGAAGTTTCGTTGGTCTTTGCTCCTACTTTCGTCGCTTCGTGCGCAACTTCACGTCCATCATTGCACGTCTGACGAGTCTATTTTCCAACAGCAAAGGTATATCTGCATGGTCACCTGCATATGACGACGCATTTCGCCAGCTGCGCCGCCTGCTGACCTCACCACCTATTCTTCGTCACTACGACCCCACTGCTGCCACAGAAATTCACACCGATGCAAGTGGCGTCGGTATTGGTGCAGTTTTGGCACAACGGAAAGGCACCCAAGCCGAATACGTAGTCGCTTTTGCAAGTCGCGCTCTCAAGAAGGCTGAATTGAATTACAGAGAAGCAGTGTTTGGCCATAATCTGAGCGTTGACGAAGTTTCGCCTGTACCTTTACGGCCGTCCTTTCGACGTGGTCGCAGACCACCACGCTCTATGTTGGCTGACCACCTTGAAAGACCCGTCAGGACGCCTGGGGCATTGGGCACTTCGATTGCAGGAATACGACATCCATGTCGTGTATCGTTTTGGTCGCAAGCATTCGGATGCCGATGTACTTTCCCGATCGCCATTAACACCAGATGTCGCTTCCCTGTCACCTCTTTTTACCACCCTGTCACCACTTGACACCACTGACATGCTTTCAGAGTTGCGTAAAGACCCATACCTTGCCTTGTTACTCGACTACCTTACCTATTCATGTGCTGTGCCTTCCACGAGAGCGCTATGCCGGCAAGCAGCCCGCTTTTCCATGCGAGACAACATTCTGTACCGCTGCAACTACATGCCTGGTGGTCGAAAGTGGCTCCTTGTTGTCCCTACTTTTATGCGCTCTGACATATGCATGAATTTCCATGCAGATCCCCAAAGTGCTCGCGCAGGTGTCCTGAAAACCTACGAAAGGCTGTGCCAACGATATTACTGGCGAGGAATGTGTCGCTTTGTGCAGAAATACGTTCAGTCTTGAACCACTTGCCAACAGAACAAGATACTTCCGCGGCACATTACTGGCATGTTA